AGGGCTGGGGATGAGATGGCAGCAGTAAGATCTTGCTTATAACAAGTAGGGTGAGATAGATATAGTGGGAATCTGGAGGCAATCTGCTCTCAGAAAAAGCAGAGATGAAAATGCAATCTATCTTTCACCCCCAATGTTCAGCCCCGAGACCAGAACCCTAGATCTTCCATGGCTCTGACCTCTGGAAACTACTATTAACTGCCAAATCAGTTTGTATAATAATAACGCTGCCCTCATCTACGATCTTATTCTGCAAAAGGTCACCCTGCTATGTATGACTGAGACCTGGGTGGGACCAGAGATGGTGTTTCCTTACAGAAATCTACTCACATAAGTTTTAAATGGTTACATTTGAGCAGCCAGGGAAGTGGGGTGGAGTAGCTGTGGTCATCAGGAAAGTCCTTGTAACTTTTACAAGCATTGCACCAAAGAATCAAATGTAAAACTGGCTGAAATTGGGCTCTAGTGATCAGCTGAGTTTCTTGTTGGTATAATAGTTTCCTTGATGCTCAGTGACATCCCTACCCAACTTTCTTGATTCTGCTGCTGGTTGGGGGTGGAGCCTCTGAGACATTTATTTTGGGGGACTCTAATCTGCCCTTCTGTGGCAATTCATCAATCATGGGAGGCTCCGTGGTTTTCTGAAGAGCTTTCAGGGATGAAATGACAGAAGAAATATGTTAGTGCCACTGGATATTAAGAAATGATGACTCCAACTGAACACCACACTTCTAAGAGCATACATTATTACATGATGATGATAAAAGGGGAAAAATGTGGCTATTTTCCATTTTTATTGTATCTGCAGATAGCCAAGCAGCAGCCTTAAGATTATCTATTTTTAGCTGATGATATTCAATTATTTATTTCAATCCTGAATTGACCAAGTAATGCTGTTAAAGCCATGTCTCAATAACTGACAGCTGTCAGAATCTGGATTGGAAGAGAAATATTTATGCTGAAACTGGAATGGCTCTGGGTCCCTGGGTTCATCCAGGAATGGGGGGAGGGGGAAGAGATCTTATCAATGTGACAATGTTTTATCTGCCATGTTTTCACTTTGTTTTGGCTTATACTATGTTGAATGTTGTTTTTAACATTAGAATCTTTCTAAATTGATTAGGTAATAAATCTGATTCATGAATTAATAAATAATATATACAAACACATGAAGAGAAAGTTTGTGTGTACATGTTTTTTTTCCTGAAAAACTAACATAGACTTGAGCTTACTTCCACTGACAGAAGTATTTTTGAAATAGTTTCCACACAAAAATACCAAAGAATTTTTCTGTATTTCTACAGGGTATAAACCAAATGATTTCCCCAAGCAGGGAGATAGGAAGAAGACTTAGGAACACCATTTTATTTTTTTATATATTGTATTAGTTTTAGATTCATATTCCTCATTCCATCATAAGATCCATTATTTGCTGCAAATCTTTTGACTTCTCAGTCAACATCATCAAACAGTTTGCAAAGAAAAGTACACGTATGTTCAAATCCCCAACCAACACAAATATTCCTTATAAATTTATCCATAAATATATTTTACAATCAAAGGGAGACATCAAACATTCATGACTTCTTGGCTGCTCAGTGTTGAAGAACTAAGCATTCAATTTATTGTAAAAATGCTTTACTTCCATCATATATTGTTCTTATCACATTAAAAAACTTTCAACTCTTGTTGTGAAATTGCCATATTTTCTTTATTCTATATTCCACTTTTCAAGCCTATTTGTGTTATATTCTTTCTATAACTCAGTAAATATGCAGTAAATTCTTTTCATTGTTGTATCTTGCATTCTGAATTTGCCAAATATCTTATCAGAAACACTTTCCAAATTAATGATAACTCTTGCCCTCCTTTCCCTTTGCATGGGGCAGCAATAAAAGCATTCTTCCAAGCATCAAGCAATTACGAAATCTTCACAAATGTATTAATTCATACACCCTATAAGGAAACTACATCAATATTTTAACACTTCTCCAGTTACACTATCTGTCTTACCATTTTTCAACATTCTCACAGCATTTTATAACACTTGTTTGAATTGCACTCTTTGACATACCCCTATCATTCACATCTTAAAATACTCCTTCCAATATCCCTTCAGTTGTCATTTCATTCTAAATAATTTAATCGTTTTGTTTTTCTCATTCCATTCATTTCGCTGGAGGCTCTTTGTTCAGATCTCTTTATTCACTCATCTTGATTTTTTATTTATTACAAAAAACAAGACATTGCTTGAAAAAGGAGAGGGTTTCATTACAATAACCTCCCAGGCCTTAGTAATCTTGAAGAGAATACCAGAGTTCATGGATCATCTCTTTGGGTCAACATAGAGGCAGGTCTTTTTCATGGTGCTACTATGGAATCACTTCCCATTTAAAATACATGAAGGCTCAATGTTAACGTGTTCTGGGTATCCTCTTAAAATCTTACTTTTTATGTTGCCTCTTCTTAATTTATGTTTATATTTCCTGCTTGTCCAGTTGATGAAATGGAATACAAGCATTACTAACTGTAGTGGAATTAAAGTCAACGCATTCAAGTAAGCATGTCAAAAAGTTGTTCAGTTTCTTCAGTGCCAGAATCTTAGACAACAGCAACCATGGCAACTGACTCTATACAGAATCAATGAACCAGTAAACTTCCTTCAACCTGCAAGTTGTTAAGCAGATGCTAGTGGGAGCTGCAAGAGACTCCAAGAACAATGTTTGTTTGTTCTGCATGTTTCACTTTGGTTTTGAAATATATATGGGTAAAATAGCAATACAGGTAGTCCTCAACATGACCACAGTTGGGACCAGAACTTCCATTGATAAACGGTGTGATCATTTAGTGAGTCATACTTTTTATCACCTGTTTGTTCTGGCTGTTAAGTGACTCTGGCTTCCCCCATTGATTTTGATTGTTGGAAGACCCCTGAGAAGATCACAAAAATGGCAGTCATGTAATTCTGAAGATGCAGCAACAATATTTGTGTTACTGTTTCTGTTACATACATTTTGAAAAATCGTCACCATGAAAAACAGAAATTATTTAAATGTATAAATGCGTTGGATGGGCCCTCATGTCAGGTATTATATACACAGGGCAGGAAGGGGGATGTTTTTTACTATGGCAAGAGAATAAACAATCTATTCTACTGCATGTAAAAAGTATACTACTAAAGATACTGATCTTTCATTATGCCAGTTGTCCATTATCTCTTTCCACAAGTAAAGCAAAATGTAACAACATCCTATGAAAAATAATGGGTAGAAGGCCATTACAGATCCAATCTGGAACTGGGGAGAAATTTCCTGACAAGAACAATTAATCAGTGGAACAGTTTGAGTCCAGAAATTGTGGGTGCTCCATCACTAGAGCTTTTCAAGAAGATAAACCATTTGTCTGGAACGGTATAAGGCCGTGATGATGAACCTATGGCATGCATGCTGGAAGTGGCACGCAAAGTCATCTCTCTGGGCACGCTAGCCGTCGCCCGTTACTCTTCCCAGTTCCAGCCAGCTGGTCTTCACGTGCATGGAAATGCCAAAAACCAGAAGAACAGCTCCCCAGCGCGCATGTGTGCACTGGGAAGCTGATTTCCAGGGTGCATCTTCATGCACACATGTGCACCAGAAGCTGCTAGTTTCCGGCATTCCCAGGTGCGTGCATGCTCCCGTTTTGGCACTCTGTGCTGAAAAGGTTTACCAACACTGGTATAAGGTTTCCTGTTTGAGCAGGGAGGTTGACTAGAAGACTAGAGTGTTGATGAACCTTTTCGGCACCGAGTGCCAAAATGGGAGTGTGTGCGGACATGCGGGGGGGCTCTGGAAACTGGAAGAGCAGCTCCCAGGTGCGCAGGCACACGTCAGGAAGCTGAGCTTCTGGTTTCTGGCACACACATGCATGCTGGCCACATGGTCTTCCGGTTTCTGGTGCACATGTGCATGTGAAGACTAGCTGGCTGGCATGCATGTGTGCGCCAGAAACCAGAAGCTCAGCTTCCTGGTTCTCGCATGCACCCCGGGGAGCTGCTCTTCCAGTTTCTGGTGCTCCCATGCATATGAAGACCAGCTGGCCGGAACCCGGAAGAGCAACATGTGACGGCTGGTGTGCCCGGAGATGGCTTTGCATGCCATAGGTTTGCCATCACAGGACTAGACTGTCCCTTCCAACCCTGTTATTCTATGTTCTAACTTATCACTAATTCTTAAATTCCATCAGCTTTTTTCTATTGATCATTTAAATATATTTCCTCTTCTTCTAACTTCACTGAATCAACAGGATATAGAAGAAAAAGCAAAAACTTTGCTGAATTATGGTACTACCACTGACTAAACGGATAATCAGGTGTTGGTGAATAAAACTAGATAACATACAATGTAATAAAAAATTAATCACATCAGTGACTTCTGAATTTACAAAGAAGTTCTCAACATGATTCTGCATTGCATTAAACCTTTTTATCACTCACCTTTATAGAACATTCACCCACTGTTTCCAGCCGAGTCCCTCAGCTGGATATTAGATAAATAATGAGCACACATTACTTAATTACATCAGTTATTCTTGTGTTGAACTTCTTGTTCCATGAAAAGGCTCCTACTCCTACTGCTTTCTGTAATATAAGCAACATAAAACTGATTGGTTTTAAGATATGCATCTCAATGGCAACTTGAAAGCTTAATACTGAAATGGGGGCCATGTGGAGTCCCCAAATATAAGTGCTGTTCCTTCAGTGTTAAACTTCAAACAGTGAAAACAAGAAATAAATCTAGTAGTGATCCAAACTGATATCACAAATATATGCATATTTTCTCCTGAATCATAATAAATTGGTGGTAAGGTATATTCACAAACAACAAAAGACAAAAAACAGAGAATGGCCCAGAAAAAAGTGATTCCATGTACAATGTTAATATTCATCAGTATTAACTAAGACTTCATTTTCATTCAACTGAAAAAAAAAACAGAAATCAACAAGCTGTTTGAGACAAAAAAATCTTATTTATTAATAAAATTAAAAGATAATCTTTTTATCAATTAACCCTCTTTAAAAAACAGTGCCAGTTCAGTTTTCTTATATTAGTGTTATGTACATTAAGAGCAACGACATGTATTAACTTAAACATACAGGCAGTAATCATATGCAAATTACAACCAAGCACACTAACAACTTCAGTATTAGCAGCATCAGTAAGGAAAATCATAATGTAGGAGACTGAGTTTTACCTAAGGTGTGTGAAACAACAGCTATAATTTTTTTCCTTAAATTGTTTATTTCTTATAGAAACCAGAGACTGCAAATCTTAAAACTATTTAGTAGGTGGAAGAGCTTCCTTTGAATGGGCACAACCTCCTCCCACACTCCATGTTAAGACTATGCTTTCAGTGGCATCTATTTCTTCCTTCTTTCCTTCCTGTGTACCTTTTAAATATGAAAAATTCTAGAGAAATCTAAAGCTTATTCAGTTTTGTAACCTCAGAGTTGACAATACTTTAATACAGATTGTATTTAAAAAGGCTTAAAATTCCTACAAATCATGTGACTTTTTTCAAACATGAATTTCTTCAATAATAACCCAAGGAATGAAAAGCTTTCTAAAGATTTGCTATCAAGAGAGGCAACTGCCCTGCCATAGTGACCCCCCAATGAGAATGTACAGCATTGCTGACTTCTTCTTCATTATCTATTTGTGGTGTCATCATTGCAGTCCCATCCTAGTATGGAAAAACAAAGATTATGCAATTCAAGGACTCAAAGCAAAAAGTTTTATTTAGTTATGCCTTCAATCATGGTAAAGTGGCTTGTGTCCCATCAAGACCACAAAGGGGAACAAGAGAGACAACTGTAGGAGTCATATGGTTGTAGTAACTGATAGGAAAGTGAATGATCCAAACATTGGAAGAGCAGTGAAACTGAATACTATAAAACAATAGAAATATTTTGCAAAATCACAATGGCCTACTTCAAAGGAGATTTTGCAGCCAAGTCATTTTTTAATTTGCATACTTCTTTTAGTACAATATTTCAAGAGTTCTAAAAAGAAAGAGGCTTGAAAACAACAAATGAATGAAGCTAATTAGTTATATGCGGTAAAAGAAAAAAAATCGATAAGGTAGGATTTCAAAGTACAAGAAAGCCAATAGCAGATGTGTGGAAAGGCAAGTTGAGACATAAGCATGTATTAATGCATCACAAGTACAAAATACTGAGCTAAGGCACATCCACTTAGAATTAGTCTTTCCCACAGAAACCAGTATTTGCAGTGTGATGGTAGAAGAGATAAGGGGGAGTACCTTCATACAGGAAAGAGGCCACCCAGTGCTAGCCTGCAATATTGGAGTTATTGACATTATGCTGTGAAGGACAGCCGTTAATGCCAGATCGGATATCTCTCTTTGTACAGTGGTAAACTAGTCTTATTGCATCAAATTCAATAGGAACTACTTTATACATGTTCCAAAAAATGCTCTATGCAATACTGACTTTTAGCCCCAGCACGTATGTGCTGAATGATCAGAACATCAGGCAAGGCTACACTGAACAATTGTCCACTGGAGTACTGCAGAATCCAGAAGAAAAGGGTTCAGCAGCCTTGTGGAAATTCTACATTAAATTGTTATAACACTATTTTGCACAATATAGCTTTAATTGATAAAAAGAAGGCTGCCCTCCTTTAAAAAGCCAAGTACATTCTAATCATTCTATTCATGTTACAGTATATAGCACACATACGATATAACATGAATAGTTCAGAACCATTTTATGGGGACCTGATTTAGAAATGTAAGCAAGAGTAACATTTGAACACATAATAAAAAATGGTCAAGAATTTATAACAACTGTTGCTATCAAATTATCTACCAATAACCCACTGAATTGCTACTGATATCATGAAGTCTTCCTGTTTCCCTGAATCTGCTGATAGAAGAAACAGCAGATTCTAAGCAATCATCTCTACCTGCTATTTCTATTTTTCTGTTTCGTTCCTATATATCAGGGGTGTAAAATTCAAGGGTAGCCAATAAACGAAGGATGGCATGAAGCATAGAATTGGGGAGGCTTCAAACTTTCATACACATGCCAAAATGAATTACTGGAATATTGCAGTAATCTGGACATAGGTGATCAATGTAACTAGCGCTGAAACAACATTTTTTTAGAATTTGTTCTAAAAAATTATGGTGCATTGCACAATAATTGAAAGTGAAATGTTTTTCAGATTGTTTTTCAGAGTTTCTTTCACATGCAATGCAATCACAAAAATTCTTCCTCTGCAGCTGAAGAGTTTTGTACTTCAGCTGCCCTGAAACTACAAAACCTTTCTCCAGATAGTTTAGTATAGCAAGTAGAAAAGACTTCTCAAAATAATTATGCCTTTAACAAAAAATAACCCAGTATTAGCACTTATTTTGCAAAACCTACATTCATTCACATCAGCTTTCCCTCAGGTGATGGGATAAATCGGATCAATGCCAGCACTAGCAAATGCTCTAAGCTATTATGTAATCTCTGCAGCTTTGCAGCCTTGCTCAAAAGGCATATCAGAGGAATTTAGATCTAGAGACTAAAAACTTAACATCACTCCTCTAAAAACATCCTCAGAATAATGGTGTGATGACTGGAATTTTATAATTTAGTAACTCTATGAGCCTGCTACATCGTCTAAGATTTTCTTAACTGCAACAAGTAGCTAGTGCTCAGAGACAGAAATATTACGCAAAAGTAGGAATAACTTATTGCCTTTTGTCTTAGAAGAAAGGAATGCACAGAAATCTGTAATGCTTCAACCAACTGAAACATTTAAGTCCAATCATTTACAACTAAAGCAAGAAAGGGGTAACTCTTGAAGGATGTATAGGTATGTGTACGCAGAGAGACAACTTCCCTTTAAAAACATAATAAATTATTGGTTCTGAACTATCCTCTTTGCAAAAGACCATTTTTTAAAAAGATCAATTGATATTCCGTTTGTCATGTCACACTTGATCAGAGATAATTGCATAATCTACATCTTTTTGAAACACATGCATCCTCAAAATCACACATTATGACATTGCTATAGATTGTCTTGATAAGACAGCATGAGTGTTTAAATATTGCTTGGACGGTTCAAACTTTAAAATAGCAGCTGGCTCAAATGACTGGACCTTTCTGTCAGAAACTCTCCCACACTGTTGCCTCTTCCTTCAACAGCCTACTGTCTCCCCTCAGAAATGTTTCAGAGAAGATTCTTCATATGGTAGTAACCATCAAATGGACAGAAATGTTTGACCACATCTATTCTTCTATTTTATTCCTTTCTTTAAAAAATAAAGAGCTGGATCTAAAACTCCCATGTTTCCAGCCATTTAAGGCCTGCCATTGAGCTGCTGGGATCAGAAGCCAGCGGTCCCGTCATCCCATAGGATAGAGGATGGAAGAGGTAAAAGCTGTGGAAAATACAAACACATATATAAATAATAAATTAAATTACCAAAAGCACATAAAGGTCATAAAGGCAGAAAGTATTTCAACATCCACTAGGTTGGCCTAACTAATGGTTGGCCTAACTAATATTTATAACATATGACATTCAGTTGTATTGTTCACTGAATTCTGAGTTAAAAGAGAAAATGGCAATTGTGAAAGAAAAGCTGTTCACATTAACTTAGGGAACCTCTAGAGTAATGGCAATGTGATCTGGATTTGAGGAATATTACCATCAGTCTCTTGTCATAGACTGATCACTCCTTGTTGGTTTGAGGTCTGTGGTGTTGCACCCTCTACAGAAAGATGGGATCCATTTAAACAGTCTAATGGACACTATTCTGTTTCAGTGGGAGCTTGGAATTGTTCCTGGAACTCTGGAATCTCCACTTGGAACAAGAGACTGGCAATGGCCTTAAATCTAATTGTGCAGACTCTCTAGGCACATGGATCATGCAAGGTCCCCTGGTTTTCAAAGGAACTCAGATGGTGAACTGGCAGAAGAGATGCATAGTGTTGTTTAAAGAAAATAAAGAGTGAAGCCAATCAAAAGTAACATCTTTCCTTGAGAATTACCTTGTGGCATTAAAGGCAGCAAGGACAGCTTTTCTCCACTCTTTTTATAACTGCAGAGAGCTGGCTGGTTGCTATTTTACGATAACCCAGTCCCAGCCCCCGCCCCCCCCATTCCCACCAGGGGAATGTTTACAGGCTGCTGTAAGATCTGTTGCAGGTGTCTGTCTCATTAAGATACTCTGATTCCCTCAGAGCTGGAATCTAATTGCACAGATCCCATGAGTTGCATGAGGTTGTTTAATTTAGTTTATTTTACTTTACTTTATTGTCACTCTACCTCGTACAATGAAATTAAATACCATCTTTATGACTATGAAAATAAACACACACCCTTTGCTTTCTATACAATTGAATTGAAATTGTATTATATTGCACTATACAGTAGAATTCAGAAGAGCTACTGTCCTGGGATAGAAGCTGTTTTTCAGCCTATTTGTCCTTGTTCTTATTATCCTGTACCATCTGCCAGATAGTAATAGTTCAAACAAAAGGTGCCCAGGGTGAGATGGATCTTTGAGAATATTCTGAACAGCATAGTCTTGCCCAGTTATCTGGAAAGAGTTTGAATCTGTTGCTCTAATGAAATGAATAAGGACCTGAGCCGTGAATTCAGTCCATCTGGGTTTTAGAGCCATTGGGATTGGCCCCGCCCCACCTGTGCTGGCAGAGGAGGCATGCTTGCAGCCCCCATTGGTCTGGTGGGGTCCAGGAGAAGGGCCTCTTCTGCCATGGCACCTGTCCTCTGGAATATCTCTTCCTCCCCCCTACCTGAGTAAGACTGCCTCCAAGACTTTGGACCTTCCATTAAGAGCCTAAGGATCTAGCTGTGACAGTTAGCTTGGGGCACCAATGGGGGAACATCACAGTTGAGGTGGTTGATCAATTAACAACAAATCCCCACTCCCCCTGCTTTCCTCCTCCCCATCTTTAATTGGGTTTGCTTGTGTATTAATTTATTTATGTTTTTAATTTATACTATTTTATCTTTTATGATTGTGAACTGTCCAGAGTTACCCTGGAGCAGCCAGTAAACTTTATAAATCAATAAAATAAATGTCCTTCCTGGCTGATTAAGTTTTCTGGGAGGTGACATGTAATTAGATTTGGGCAATTATTTATGTTTTTGAGCAGCTCAAGAACTGATTCTCACCTATACACACTCAGCACGACCAACACTGCTATTCCATAGTCATAAATCTTCCTAGCTTGAATGCTGGTTGAAAAAAAGGAAACGCAGAATTTCAGGAATACATCCCACGTAATCCCTGAGGGAAAAACAACAAATTAAATCTGATTTGCAATTAAATTAATACAGTTTATGTGACAACCATTCATGCATTTAATCAGATTTTCCCATCTCATTAGAAATCACAATTTTGATAGCAACTTCTGAAAGATTTATATGGGGAAAGAAAAATCTGGGGAAAAGAACATGCAGGCCCCAGGAAGGGCATTTCGGGGCAAGTGATGGACAAGTGATGGGCAGGATGTAAAAAGACTTTTAAAAGAAGTATCTGTAGTGTTTTATATCCTGAGGCCAAAAATTAGAATATTTAAAGCTGAGTTTTTAACAATATTCTTAACCAATACACCTAGAAAGCATTGTAAAAATAAAGTATTTCTGCAATGCATTTGAGGGAAAATTGTTTTAGACTCTTTATCAAACTCCTATTTGAAAGAGTTCCTGATCATTCTAATAATAATCATTCTAACACCCACATTATCAATACAGAAATGATGAGAATAGGACAACAGATTCACACGGCTATTGAATAACAGCTGGTATTTTGTATCCCAATCTGCTAAATTCAATTTTAGATTATAATGGTCTCAATACTGATAAAAAATATTGTTTCCTGAGAACCTTTTGAAAACATGCAACGTGTTAAGGTAAACCACGTAATCATTTACACTCATGCTTTTCAAGACTCTCTGTAATCTGATTACCATATTTAATTCCTGATATATGAAGATATATAAATCTTACCTGTCAACATGATAGAGAAAAGCATGGCAGGGAAGTAATGATGGAAATAGAGCACTCTGCCCATCATGAAGAAAGGAAAATAATGGAGAAACCATCCCAGGATAATCCTTCCCCCACCGTGCAGCAAAACTCGAGCAAGTTCTGTAATATATGCATATATCTAAATATGTTTTCACTGATGTTTATTTAATCTCAAAATTGTATACAGTACAAGCATTGGATCCTTTGAAACATTATACAGAGATCGAATTCTAGGGAATGTTACAATGAACCCTTCCAAAGGTACTTATAACCAGGTTCCAAAGAGCCAACAGCCAGCCCCCACCCAATAATCACACGATTGCATTTTTGTACACTTGGCAACCAGCCTTCGTTTGCGGCTGTTTGCACTGTCCCATAGTCCCATGACCATGATTTGCTTAATGACTGTGGCATTAGTTTAACGACCACATATTCACTTGATGACTATGGCAATTCACTAAAGAATCATCACAAAAAAAGGTCATATATTTGGGTCTGTCATATGATAATCCACTTCACAACAACTACCACAACGTATAACCATTTTGCTCTAGTGCTTAAGGCACCAGACTAGAAGTGCTCAAGTCCCACCTTAGACCAGCCCAACCCACCACAGAGGCCTGTTGTGGAGGAGAGGGGGGGAATAAGAGGAGGAAGGTTTGTTGGATGTGTTTGCTGCCTTGAGTTATTTGTAAAATTAAAGAGGGGATATAATAAAGAGGGGATGAAATAAAATAATAAAATAAAATAAATAAAATCATAAAATAAATATAATAAAATAAATAATAAAATTAAAATAGGCAGACTCCATTACTGTTATAAGTCAAGGATTACCTGCATCTGGAAAAGTCGTCTGCAGTTTTGTACCACATAATTCCATAATTCCAAACTCATATGGCCAAAAATCATAGAATCTTATATGTTGAAGCCCAATCCAATTAAGGTGAAGTACACAGGTAAAGGCTATTTTTAAGTATTTAAAAAGCTGGAACACTCTAGTTAAAGCCATCTGACTATGAATTTCTATGGATAGTGCAATGTTAGTGATATCACTGTATCCAACTGTTAAGGAACATTAATGGAACAAGGAACAGTGAATAATTCTTAATAGCTTTCCGACTTTCCAGTTTTAGTTTTTTATATATGTGTTTTTGGATCTCAACATCAGTAATAATCCCCCTTTTCCAATAATCTCTCTCTGAAGGAAAGGCAATATAGCACTGGCTACATGGCATTTGTTGTTTTAAAGTTCAAAGAAACAAGAAAATTGGTCTTACCTTTCTGTTCAGCTGTCAGCTGAACTCCTCGCTTCATAGCCACAGATATAAATATTATCATTGTAAGATATAACACAATAGCTATGAGACTCATCCACCAAATCACCTGTTTAAAAAAAAAAACATTGTAAATAAGCCTATTCAGTGCAATTTTTTTCTTCTGTTTAATTGTGTCTTGTTCTTGGGGACTGCATGTTCAAGGGCGTCCAGTTTTCTTGGCAAGACTTTCCAGAAATGGTTTGCCATTGCCTCCTTCCTAGAGCCTTAACCACTACACCAAACTGGCTTTTGCCACATAAATTATAAAGAAGCAAAAGATAAAGATTACAATTATGAAGAAAAGATTATAAAGAAAACTACTTAAGTGGAGTAAACATTCCAAGGAGCTCAAGGTGATGATGACTCATCTAATCTCAAGATAAAGAACTAAATTTTTGCTTACCGGGTTTCCCAGCAAATAAACCCTATAGTCTGTTTCATTGACACCAGAAAAACGCAGACCCTATGGAGAAATTGATGTCTGAATCAGAAGTGATCAAAGTATTTCACTTTTAATCCTTATCTTTTAATTAATTGATTTTTTCCTTTCATTATAGGAGAAAAAAATAGAGGCAGTTCTTGACTTACAACTATAATTGAGACTGGAATTATGGTCGTAAATCACTTCAATTGTAAGTTGAGGCATCACCTGAATGAATTTGAAATTATGATCATTTTCTTGCAATGGTGGTTGAGTGAAGGCTGCAGTCTTTAAGCAAACACTGCGGTCATTAAGAGTATCCATTTTCCCTAATGGGTATTTGCCAGAAATAAATGCTAGCAACAGGAAAAAATGTCACAAATCGTGGTGACATGATTGTGTGATGGTGCAAACTTCTATATAAGTGAGCCAGTTGCCAAGTTCCCAAAGTAAGACCATATGACCTTCAGCTGAGGGTTTGTAACTCCCAAAACAGGTTGTAAATAGCTCTGAAGAGATTTGTTGTAACTTCAAATGGTCATTAAATAACCAGTTGTAAGCCAAGCGCTACATGTATTTCATATTTATAAAACAATTCAAGTTTGGGTTTAAATGCAGTTAAATATTTTCCAAGAACAGTTTTGCATGACCTTCATAGGTCTTTGCTAACAAGCATCTGTTTAAATAATGGCTATTAAGCAATTAGAAATACTGAAGGGTATGAGTCTTAAATAAACTTTATTCTCTTCCATTATTTTAAAAAAAAAGAAATACTGGCAGGAAAAAAATGAGATTTGGGTGTGCAGATGTCATTTAAATATGCATCCTGGAAATACGCAAAACGAACTAACAGCAATTATCCATGCTATTCTTTTAAAAACAAGATGAAGACAGAGCTCTTCACCATTTATGCTGATCACATACCTGATAATTGATTGGCCAATGCCAGGGTTTTGATGTTACTTCATTTTCCTTTGGTTTAAGGCCACTGTTTCCCTTCCAATGAAATGAAAGGCACAGTTATCAGTTTTTATTGTGCCCATTTACCTTCTGTCTATCTGTCTGTCTCTTTCTCTCTCTGTCATTATACCTCTCATATTTAATAATGTACTGTCCATCTAATTCATTTCATATAACAGTGCATTACCCACCTCTGGAAAGTTTATATGGACATACGTCCATGCACAACACATATTCAATCTTTTACTGCTCTTTCTTACTAAATATCCTACTTTGCCTTCTGCTGGAGAAAGCGTAACCCAGCCCACCTTGAAACTCTGATATCACATTTCAACCAGGAATGCTTGAGAAAATGCTCCATAGTGAAAACTATGAGAACTTTTTTTTGTTATTGTTCTTCATTCTCAACAATTATCCCCAAAATAGAAATTCATTAACTTTGCTTTCATAGCACTAAAGTATCTTTATTTTTACAAAAAGAATTTTTCCCCTAAAATGAGTTAAGAGTGTTCATGAATAACACTAAACCATTATATCATGGTATGTAAGTAGTAAGGAGCCCAGTGCAATCTTGGATTGATACATTCCCCACTCCCTGTTGCTCATGCAAACTGAATTGAAAAGTAAACAGAAAATTAACTTAGGCAGATAATACCCTGTCTTCTCCTTACTGATGAATCAGAAATGTAAGAAATATAAGAAAAGCAAAAAGCTCAAGTGCAGAGATATGTAACTATCATCCAAAAACTATACTAATCCACTAATGTGGATGGATTTTGGAATATAAGTAACTGACTTGCCTAGTACCACACCAATAATGTTTACCATGAAAATGGATTAATGCCAAATTGGTTACTAGTAACAGTTCTGACTAACATTTAGAAATTAGAAAATGCTATTTTATGAGCAACTCAGAGCAACTTGATTCCCAGTCCATATCAGGCTGGCAGAAGTGTGGATAAAAGGATAGGTTTGCCTTTTATGGCCCCAACTAAGGAGCTATAAAAGTCTGAAGATAAAAAATACTAAGTTTCCAACTCCTTCCATTCATCAGCAATTCTCTCACATGCCAAATAACTCAGATTATAGTTTTTTAAAAATATTCCACTTGCTAAAATATTATTAATAAACTGTGTAAGTAATTTATCTTTCTTTAAATATCTATAGTATACCCCAAAGTGCTTTTTCAAGAGGCAACTGAACTGTCTGGTTTTTCTTTGAATACATTTTGTTTCTCATTCAAGAAGCTTCTTTAGCTCTGACTGGACCATGGGAAGAAGAAGCTCAGAGCTGAAAAAGCTTCTTGGATGAGAAGTCTTCAAAGAAAACCAGAAAGTCCAGTTGCCTTTTGAAAAAGCACCTTTGGGACAACCATGACCTGGATGACTGAGAATTTCCATGGACATATCTACTGTATATTTTACAGGTATATCCTACAATGTAAGATATACTATGTAAGATATATATACAGTGTAAGATATATATACAATGTAAGATATACTTCAGCCTTCCCAGATCACTGAAAGTACCTTGAAAACTGTTGATTAGAGAGACAGATTTATTGGATTGCATCTTCTGCTATTTTGGCCCAAACCGTGTTTTTTTTTAATTTATTAGAATGTTAAACAATAACTCCTAAACAATCTACTTACTCGGATCATAACAATGTGAGATTCCAGCATTATTTCTGGAAAGGAAGGTTTCAAAACATCCAAACTGATATTGGGCACTGCAGAAAAGAAGACAGTTTAAGATTAATCTTATACATTAAATCTGTACAATCCTTCTCTCAACACTCAATTAAATTCAGTGGGGCAGCATTATTGAAATAGCAAAGCAAAGCAAAATATGCAACCAAATCTTGACTGGTCAAATTTCCTCAGGTCCTCATTCTACATCCTGGAACATTAAAACTGAATCATAGGATGTTCCACTTTTCATTTTTCTAAGTCTCTGAAAGAAGGAAACAAGGGGTACAGTAGAATAGGTATGCCAGTGATATATACCAATGATGGCTAACCTTTTCCATGTTGCATGCCAAAAGTGCGTGTGCATGCCTGACCCATGATGCAATGCACATGCAATTTCTCCAGCCCCCTGCTTGTGCGCATGAACCCATGTGTGCACTGCACACCTTTGCGCATGAGCACATGACTCCCCTGCATTGCATGCCTCTGCGCATATGCACACAACCCACCACATGCTGCATGCCTCTGCACATGCATGCGTGTCTCCCCCCCACACGTCTCCCCCCCCGCACATGTGTGGCAGTTACCCGACAATCAGCCGGCTGGCGGGGGGCACACACACATGCATAGTGGGGCTCTTCCAGGCAACCTCTTGCATGCCACTTCTGGAACACGTGCCATAGGTTTGCCATCACGACTATATACTGTGTTTCCCAAAAATAAGAACCAACCGAAAAATAAGCCCTAGCATGAATTTTAGGATGCTCGTGATATAAACCCTACCTCAAAAATAAGCCCCAGTTAAGATCGTCAACCAGACATATGCATTTAGTAATGTATTTTCCCAAAAATAAGACCTTACCAGAATATATATGGACCAGAAGCTGCACTGCAGCTGCATCACTACCCACTTTAAACCCCTCCGAGCCATACATGAAGCAAACCGACACCCACTATGAAGATGCAGCAGGACCACAAACTAGAAGCCAAACAGCAAGATCACAACTCACCAGCTCAAATCCCCCAGCAACTAAGACTAACCTGAGCACAACCAAGCCCCCACCTGAACAGAACACGCCGCCAACCAATCAGAACACGGCTAACCCCCCAACCAATCAGAACACAGCCAAACCCCCTACCAATGAGAACACACCCCCACCCAATCAGAACACAGCCAAGCCCCCACCGAATCAAGTCCCACCCCCACTGGCAGTTAAAAGGAGGAAGCAGCTGCAATCTCACATTACTCTGAGAAGCACAGAGCCGGAGACAGAAGCCTGAAGATGATGAATGAGACTTCATCGAAACGTTGCCTAGATACTTCGAATCTTACGCGGGAGAAAAATCCGAACAACCAAAGATCCATATATATATATATATATATAAATAGAGAGAGAGAGCTGAATACCATACTATACATATACATATACATACATACATAGATATAAATATTTTAATAGCGTGTTACAATCACATACATCTGGAATTAATGTGATCTTCAATATTCCAAAGAGTATTTGGAGTCTCCTTCTGATATGGAGTACAAGTGACTTCCACTTGTTCCCAGCCCCTGTGAAAGACAAATATTTTTAATCAATTCACCCCAATCTGCAGTCATATTTCTTGACTCTTTTCAACACATCTTTTTGTAGAGATCTATTTTTGCTAGGAAATTGATAAATTATAATTTAAGGGAATTATTTATTTTATTTGTTGAACAAGCCAACACGTACATAGTATAATAGGACACACAAAATGTTATTTTTGTATAAGATACTATAAAGGCTACATCTGGAATATTGGGAATAAGTTCTGGGTGCTCATGATCAGAAAGAATAAATTCAAATGGAAAGAAAAGTCATTCACAATGTAAGTATTAGGTAAAAGTCAGTTGTGTTCAGTGGGGCTTATTTCTAGGTAAGTTTCAGAAATCGAGATTTCCTATATTATAACAGATATGAGCTCTTTTTTAAAAAAAGCCACAACATATTATAAGTATATTAATATGGGATAACAAATAATTAAATTAGCTATTTTGGCTAAAGGAAGAATATGGCTCTAAATTTATATGGCTATACATTTGCTGTTGTTTAATTTAAATTAGAAATCAGAAAATGTAATTAGAAGAGTAATGAAAAATGGTCCCTTAAAATAACTGTAAAGCAATGTTTTAAGAAAAAGTTAGCTTAGACATTTGAACAGTTACCATTTGGGTAGCGTCTTTCCTGTCGAACCCAAGATACATGTTGTTGCTAGATGAATTAACCTTATTTGACTTCGCAGGACTTTGATGCGTTTCCCATCCTTTCTTCCTACAACTTCAATTCGCCAGAAATCATTGGAGTCTCCAGATCCATTCTAGGAAACATATATATTACAGGATGGGGGCAGGAAAGAGACATTAAGAAAATCTTTTTCTCTAAATAGCTCAAATTGACATACATAGATGACCGTTCCTTTTATCCCCATTACAAAAACTTTTACAATAGGTTGGGGGGGGGGAAATACCTGGCTTATTCAGCATTTCCCTATTTTTTTTAACCCCACAGAAAGGGGAAACTCAGCATCCCAAGTTGGCTTTTGAGCTTATGTATTTTGGGGGTTCTGATTGCATCCCCCAATTACCTTTTAATGCCTGAACCTCTTGAATTGGGATTTCCTGGCACTCAGTAGAGTCACATGATCACATAGCAAATTGGGGAGGAAATTCTTTAGAAAAGCTAAACGATTTGAGGTCCAAGAAAATAAGTATATAAGGTCACACATAAATTCTATGGTGGTGTTTCAGTGCTTCAATTTATTAGATCTGCTTTCATCCATATTTTCTTTTAGGAGTTCTATATAGTTTTTAAAGCAACATATTAATATTATTAACTGTAAAATCCCTTGTGACCTTCTATGAAATATCACAGATTTTTGAACAATTTAAAAGCAAGAAAGCCACAACAGAAAAATGTAACCCTTTGCTTTGCCATGTTTATTACAAATGGAAAGCAGAATCCTCTTTATTCACTTACAATGCCATATCCAGTGACCTGAAAATGTTTCCTTGTCAAGGGGGCTTCATGTTGATGACTGTGCAGATTTCTTGATGTCCTAAAGTTAAAATAAAGTTAAACTCTTTGATCCGATTTTAGGACAATCTGAAGGATGGAAAATATTAAACAAATATTAAACAAAATTGCATATAATATTTTGTTCAAAATATTATATGCAATATAATAACACTTTGTTAAATAACTATTTATCTATCAATATACAAGCATCATAATTTCTATAGGGTGCTCACTGATTCTCATGGCAACCATTTCCAAATGTGCAGCCATGTTAGCTAGATGTTATTGCTCCTATATAAAATCAATCAAAGAACCTCTATTGCCTCAATGAAGCTGATCCTAAGCATTTAAAGTTCAAGTGTATAACTTTACAAATAGGAAACATCCCAATATACACATGAAGCACAAAGGAAAAAAATAATAACAAACCAACATCGACTTCAAAAAATTATTTTAGTCATGGCTGGCAGATCAAAACTATTCTATTCTAACCTTCAGTTAGAATAGTTAGTTCAGACAAATCTAGAAAATCCTCAACTTTTTTTTCAAATTCCTGTGCAACTTACTCTTTGTGTTCCAGATGGATAATATCTCCATGTTTCACAAACTCCACAGGGAAGGAAGGGTCTGAATAATTTGATAAATAGAAGAGGTCTCAACATGAATTTGTGGAGAAGGGACAAAGACATTAGAACACTGATACCTAAATATATTATCAAAATACTATAAAGAGGGGAAGCATACTTCCAAACTCTATGATTTAATTCAATTGTAGGAACACTGAATCTATATTTATTTCATTACCCTGTGACTAATCTGCACTTTTCAACCAATAGCTGGAAGAGAAGCTGCTTGGACATGCTAAGTTGCAAGTTGTGAAATAACCACATTTTTTTTGCCTCATCCAAATTATTTCTCTCTTTTAACAGGTACCCAGTATCTGCTAGACATTTAATCCTCATTTATAAGTACTTAATCCTTGCTGATATCTAAATTAAGCAACTGTGGAAGGAGGGGGAGAGAGAAAAAGAGAGGTTGCAAAGCTATAAAAATTGACCAATGAAAGCCATCATTTCGAATTCTGGAAACTGAATCTGCCCTTGGGCTCACTGTGGCATGTGTGGCAATTAGGAAAGAACGCTTGGGGCTTTAAGTAATTAATGGGACAATTTAAAGAAACATTTGTTTTTTTCTTTAGATTTTTATTCCATCCTTCTTTCATATATTCAGTTTGTACACATACAACAGTTTGTTTTATTTTGATTCTGGCACTTCTTGGTATTCATCCTGCAAATTCTATGTTTGTCAGCAACACAAGAATTTCAGAATGCACTGTGATAGAATAATTTTAATAAGCAACTAGTTTAATGTAATTCTGAATGAAGTATACTTGCACTGGGACACATAAAATACCATGGTTTAAGAGAAACATTATTAACATAAACATTTAGAAATGATAACATTAGTTTTAAAAGGTAATACAGCTGATAACCATAAAAATAGTTGGATTAATACATTTGTTCATTATGGCCTATAATGAAGTACACCTACAGACAGCAGTTAAAACAGCAGTTAATGCTGTAAGGCACTATGGGCAACAGTAAAATTGCAATGTAAAATAAACAGCCTTAAAACTAAGGCAGATAACATATAATACATGCAAAATTGTAAGCTGTTTGTCACATATCACCAAAATGGAATGAGAAATTTTCTTTGGCAAGATTTTATTGAATCCAATATTTCATTCATGTTTTTGCATCAAAATGCTTTGCCCAAAAGAGTAAAGTGTGTGCTTCTATATGCCCCCCTCTTGTCATTATTGAATTTTTTAAAACAAAGAAAAATTAAAAAAGAGATTGGTGGAATCTGTGAGCTCTTGTAGTAAAATCTAGCAAAACTACCACATATTTATTTTCCAGTTCATAAAAAAGTGAACAATAGTCTTCAAACAGAGAATTGGATTAGCTGTCCCACAGTCTGGAGTTTGTTTGTTTTTTTAAAAAAAAACCTTTCTTAATATAAGATCATTATATCATACTTCCAAAAGTGTTGTGCTCCACCGTCTGACAGATTTTCAGACAAAACATTTCTCCAAAAATTTAATCAAGATCTACTTCACTGAAATGTCCTATCACTTTTTCTGGACATACTATCTGAAATATAGGAAAAACACTCCATTTCAACTTTTGTATATCTGAAATTAATTAAAAGACTGTCATATTTTAATTCAAATCTATTTTTCCAAGTAAAAAATGAATGTATTTATTAAATGTATATTGATCTTATATGAGAAGACCTTTTTACTGTCCTAGCTGTCGTTCTGCTACATTTCCTTTTATTAATGTCCCCCAAACAACTTGTCCAAAGCTAGATACCCTCTCAAGTGATACAAGCACATTCCATTTTACATCTATGATTTTCTTTGAAAGAAAGTCAAGATTTCAATATAGCAAGTATTTAATATATCCTGGGAAACACAATTGTTACAAATATGACAACATAATCCTGAGAAAGGACATTTTCATTGAAGAAAAGTAAAATGAATAATATAATCCATTTGGTTGATTTTCAATTTACCTCTATTCAAGTTATGTTTCCTTATAATCCATAAATTATTCAAGTCTTTGTGTAAATATGCAGTGACCTAGGGATACATAAACGTTATTAGACTTAATTTCTTAAGTATATTAATGAAGCTACACTTCTATAATTACTAACAAATACAATACCTTACATACAGGATTACAAAATACAAAAATGAAGAAAAGAGGTTTATCCCACTATTTTTCCACAATAATTGTCATTCAAAGTCATGTTGATTTTGATGGTAGTAAGGATCTTAAACTTAAATCATCACAATAGTCTCATGAAGATTAGTTCATGAACCTAAGCCCGTGATGGCGAACCTATGGCATGCACACTGGAAGTGGCACGCAGAGCCATTTCTGCCAGCATGCGAGAGGTCACCCAGAAGAGCCCCACTGTGCATGCATGCACATGCCGCTGCCAAATAGGTGATTGTCAGGTATACATGCGCAAGGTATGGGGGTGCGCAGGAGACACACATGCATGTGCAGAGATGCGCAATGCATGGGGGTCATATGCACATGTGCAGAGATGCACGGTGCATGTGGGGAGTCACACGCACATGCGAGTGGGCGTGGGGGGTACCAGCACACATTGCCTTCTGGGTGCTGGCACGCAATCGGGATGGGAGCCAAAAAAGCTTAGCCACCACTGACCTAAGTGACGCAACACCGAAGCCTTTATATACATATTTATAGACTAAATACATATATAAAGAGTGAAACATGAATAATATTATAGTATGCCATTAATTTTTTTTACTGTAAAACAGAACTGCAATCAAAGCCATTTCACACTGGCTGGTTAGCCAGTATCTTTTTTGGTTGACTAAAACTTTGATATTATGTTTTATTTAATAAATTAATATTTAATAGATTGAGAAACAGTTTCTTTTCCAAGGCAATAATTGTCTTGAATCAAACAGTGTATTTGTGATTTAGTCCTATGTATATAGTGGCATTTTTAAATTATCTAACTTACTATATGTTTAGATAGGTTTTAGACTAGTGTCAGCCTTTAAGATTTTCTCCCTTTGCTTTGCATCTTTCGGCTGTCATAAGTAACGAGGGGAGGAGGGGGGAATGGTTATGGGAAGTGAGCTGGAGGTGTTACAAACCAGAACTGTATAAGCTGGTGGGGGGGAGATTCTTGCTTAGGTTTCTATCCTATGCTATGCACAGCTGCAACTCTTTATCAAAATATGTCAAGGTCAATGGACAGAGGCCTCATCACCACCTGGAGATGCCCACATGATATACACAACTTTTAATTGGATGAGCCAATTGAACTATTGGGGGTGGGAACGTTGCCATTACTTTGTATATGTGATTTACGCGCCCATTTTCTCAGATTCAGAATTCTTTTGTTGCTACCACTTGATTTCCAGTAAAAGGTATCTTTTCTCTGATTAATGGAGTCTAAGTATTTCTTTCTTGGATTTTGAATGGAGCACCAGCTGACAACTAGGTGGTATTATTATTATTATTATTATTATTATTATTATTATTATTATTATTTCAATTTTTAAATACTCTGTAGTTTGATTCTGATTTGGTGTTTGTGGCACTGTGCTTGAGTAGCTTTCAAATTTCATTTTATTTGTAGAATGAAATGACAATAAAGGTATTCTATTCTATTAGCAAACTAGTATTTAATAATTTGTCAATAACTGGTCTTGACAAATTAATAAATATTAGTTTGGTAATAAGGTACCAATAAGGTACCAATATGGGTACCAATACAGATTGGAGAAAATGATTTGGAAGGTTGTGTGTACTCTTCAAGCTCTAAGTTTGAGATTCCTGATTTAGACAGCGTGACTAGTAGCCATTTTCCATCCCATGAAAAACAAATCTTGAAGGCCATCATACATAGTGAAAAAATAATTAACTTCCATATGTTTTAGTCAGCTGAATGACTTACGGAAGTATCAGTAGAATGATTGAAAATGGTATTTTCATACTTGACTGACCTGCTGCTGCCTTGCTCCCACTCCTTCAGGATACAAGTGCCAGTGGGAGTGAAGGTATCCTCCCGCCATGCGAAGATTCTTCAGTGTTATCACAGACCCATATGCTACATCTAAAAAGAAACAAGGGTTGCATTCGTAACCATAGATTACTGCCTTTCCCCCCCTTCCATTCAATTGTTCCTGAATTCCAGAGACTGCCTGAACAAGTTCCTGCAGTTTTCTTGGGAAGGTGTCAGCCCTGGAGCCATCCCCCACCCCCCCACCCGCACCTTCAGGGCTGCCACAGCGGAGATGGGTCAAACTGTGGGAATGGGAAGGGGGAGGAAGAGATAGCTGAGGGAGTGTAGCCAAAATAAAATACTTTCTTCTGAGAACCAAGAACTTTTCTACAAGGTGCAAGGAGGTGGGATCTGAGACCAAGTGACCCTTGGACTGTGACCTGATTGGACCATGTGATGAACTATGTGGGCAGGAAGAAAACTTTACTTTTAACTAGGGGAAAACCCAAGAGGGGTTTAGAGTCAAGTTTCCCCAGATGTGCCAATAGGACATGCCTAATATATCTTTACTTTGAGGAACATGCCTGCCTTTGAGTTTTGATTCCTTTGGGGGTGTTACTTGGAACTCTAACACAAGGTTTTTCAGAAATGGTTTACCACTGCCTCTTTCCTAGTGTTCCTTGTTCAAAAAACTCTACCGGCAAATAGATATGAAATAGAGCACTCTGTCCAGATAATTCAGCCCCATTTGAGCATCTTTCATGTAAACCTAATGCTGTTTGACAACAATTTCATGAGACTCTTTACCTGATTCATGTATCATACTAACCTACAGCTAAGGCTTGTTGAATAAGCAGCAACTGGCTGCTTTCTCACAATCATGCTATTTATATAATGTAATTCATCTGGCTCAAGCTTATACAGTTTAAAATTTAGCATTTGATGCATAACCTAGACTATTATAAATTATTAAACAAATCATAATTAATTCAAACAGTTGTACAATATGTACACTGAACCACAACCAACCACACTACTGTACAACTTGGAAGACTACTACCGGTAGTTTATTGCTACTTACTCCGTGTCATAGATATTTGTGCGCAGATGGTTTTGGGCTTAATCTGTTGTATAATAACATATGGCTTTTGTCAGGATGATGCTCACAAATAGCAATAGCACTTAGACTTATATACCACTTCAAAGTGCTTCACTGCCTTCTCTAAGCGGTTTACAGAGTCAGTATATTGCCTCCAACAATATGGGTCCTCAATATATTTAATCTAACACAGATGTGTAAAATTCAACTTATCAATATATTGCCCTCCCAGCCTCACTATGAAGTACATACTTTTATATAAAACATTAACAAAAGCATCTATATGCCTCTATCACACTTGTGCTTCATTGTACATTCCCTGTTCCCAAATCAAACATAACAAAAATTAATTTTTTAGAACATCAAAATATTTCAAACAATGCCAGGCAAAAGTTGCTTTTTAAAAACCCTTTTCTTAAAAATTATTAATTTGCTTTGCTTTGAACTACCTATAGACTGTAGAGTTACAATGTTTGCTAGAGCATTTGTCCCTTCAATAACCCAGATACTCACATTCTGGAACAGAAACATTATGAAGATTGTTTCCAATGAGCCGGGATTGAAATCCGGAGCTGAAAAAACCATCACCAGGTCCACTGAGAAAAAAAAGTACTTGGGTTTTCAGTAGACAGTATGATTAAATAAGGAGAAAATGTAACAGGAAAAGAAAAATGCTTTCCACTTCTTGTAGATGTCTACAAAGATCTAATTTCCTGAAGCATTAGAACATCCTGAGCCATACTATCAGATCAAGCCATGGTTTAGACCACGGGTGTCAAACTCGATCACGTCATGTGACGTATTGCAACATTTTTTGCCTTTGTAGAGCTAGGGTGGGTGTGGCCTGCACCTATGCACCTGGCTGCCAGTTTGATACCCCTGGTTTAGACTTTAGGGTTCTTTACAGCCTCTCATGTCCAGAGGCAAAGAGAGCAACAGCCAGAATTGTGAATTATCACAATCAGTTGTTGTCTCCAACCATAATTGGCAGTAATCTCAAAGCCTGGTTATTAAAAATCATGTTTAGCCAGTTTAAAGATAAATCAAGCCTCATTGAAATCAACCTCAACAGTTCATGAGGTTTTCTTGGCAGCAATACATAAGTAGTTCACCATTCCTTTTTTTCTGGATGTGTGTGTGTGTGTGTGTGTATTGTTGTTGTTTTTACTTTTCAGACTACTCTGCATCCTTGAGGTTTTCAGTCTTACTTAGCTTTGGCCTGCTGCTGCAATTAATCAATGTAAACACTACCCTGAACTCAGTTAAATGTCTTTAAGAAAGGCTTGGTATAGGGTCCAAATAAACACTGCAGCAATTACAGTGCAAAGTTTCTCAACTGTGTATTTCCTTTCTGACAGAACGAGATGAGATACCTTCTGTTTAATACTGCAAAATGCACTGCAAAAAGGGTTATATAGAGGACAAGAGGCAGTACAATGAGGCAAAGTGCACGAGCCAAGAAGTGCTTTCCCAGTGTGGCCTGGAAAAAAAAAAAAGACAAATGCATCAACTTTTAGGCAAGATTTTTTATCAAAACAAATTGTCTCTCTCTATATTTCCAGTGCTGAAGCAACAAAGCTACAAATTTGTACACTTACACACTTAAAATTAGACTGGAACAAAGCATACTCAATTTTTTAAAAAAGCTTCATCTGATGTATTATCTTCCCATAATAAATCATGCCATGAGTACCTCAATATGGCAACAGAAAAGTCATACGTCAGTTCAAAAACAATTTGAATGAAAACAAACAAAAAAACCTTTTGGAACTGTGTGTACCAAAAAAATAATAATAATCACATGGCATCTATCTAAAAAATAAATACATTAATTAATCCAAAATTTGTTACTCATTCAAACTTCATTTTTTCCCAAAATAAGATTTTCTGATGGGAGAATTAATTGGACTGCAATTTTCCATGTTTATTCAATATATCTTTTTCTAAAAGATTGTACTTTGGGGCTTTTATCTTATGTACATGTAGAAGAATAGCTCTCACAGGCAAAATTATTTCTAGCATTGTTTGCTTACATACCTAACTGAAAACAGTTCTGAACAAAACAGATAATTCCAATCAAGTTCAAGATAGGCTTCTGAAATTACTTATTTTCAACCTCTTCAAAACTCCAAATGCTGTGACATACAGTATTTGCGTCTGTTTAGCCATTCATCTATATGCCATACAGGAAAAACAGTTGGAGTAAACTACTACATATGCTGGCTAAAACTTCATCCAATTATTCAATACTGTAGTACATATTTTCAAATAACCATGCATGGAATGCTGTCCGAATCCACTATTTCCCGCTCATCCTTCAACTCTGTTAACTTATATTGTTATTGCAAAAGTTTCTTCTTGGGTTATCTAAGAAGAATGCAAATGGTAGAAAAAGATTACTGAGTAAATTGAATATCCTATGGGAGGGAGATAATTAATAATCTTGATGTAATGCTTTTTCAGTTTTAAGTGGTGAAAAGTGCTAAAAGAGAGTTATTCTGTCAATCCTGATCTAGAATTATACTCTGCTTTGCTTAGTTTAAGATTCAAAGAACTGTGCTGGCAATGGTACAACTTAAGTTTCTGAGCAGCCATCTGCAAAAGGAGGTATAAGCAACATGGATTTGCTTTATTTCATTTTCAATTGACTAATACTTTCTGAAGTAGTTCTTTTCAAAAGCTGAAACTCACATCCTTGCACTACATGTATTTTAATCAAAAAAATAAATCACTAGCAGAAATAAAAAAGATCACATTTTCATATATAAAAGAAATAGAAACAATTGAACTAAATTATATGTGTCAGAAAGCCACTTTTCTTGCTGTTAATGAGGTGCCAATTTAATAATGTCTATTGTCAATACTTCATATTTAATTTCTCCTAAGCATTGCATAGAAATAATTTACTGTCCAGAAATAATTTAATTTCTACCATGGCAAACTATTTATGTCCAGAAAATAAACTCTTAATGATGAATGACTTGCAGTTTTCTTCTTCTTTAAAAAAGTAATTCAACATGTAAAGGCCATTAAATCCATCAGGCATAGCTATAAACCAGTAATTTATTGGATAAAAAATCCAATTTGTAGGCTACATTTATTGCTTCATTAAAGTTCAAACAATTTCCAGGCTTCCTCCCCAGTTCCCCAACACACATCATAGCTTATTAAGATAACCAATTTAAGGCATTTCAGCAATAAAATCTGTCATATAAAATCACTTGTAGAACTTTACATATGTCCATATATTGGGGTACTCAATAACAATGCTAGATATGTATGTATACAGAATAACAGAGTTGAAAGGAACCTTGGAGGTCTTCTAGTCCAACCCACTGCTTAAGAAGGAAACCCCATATCATTTCAGACAAATGGTTGTCCAATCTTCTTTAAAATATCCAGTGTTGGAGCACCAACAACTTCTGGATACAAGTGTTCCACTGATACAGATATGGGTTTGAGGATGTTTTAACCTGAATTGAGTAACCTAATTGATACCTTACAATTTTGTGGTCTGTTCTTAAGAATACTATCTTTTTCATACAAATGTTTAAAAAGTAATGAGTTTTACATGCTCACCAGTGACAGACTAAGGTCTCCCAATAACTCCCAAAGTTCACAGATAGTATTCAGGCCAACCAGAAGGACAACAAAAAGGCCAACAAATTTCACCCCCATTGCACCAGCGAGGTTCACCCCAGTCAAACACAGCCAGAACCACCAGGGGACAGTAAAGGACCTGTAAAATATATAGTTTAAAGTTTTCTGTTCAAAATTCATGTTTTTTTTTTGGGGGGGGGAGTTTTGTTTAACAATCTATATCAAAATATATTCTATTTATAAATGGAAGAAAATAATGCTGAAAACAGACTGGTTGTGACACACTGACATATAGTAAGATTTATATTTAATCTAGAGAAAAGGAGGGTGGTATCAATAACTCATAAAGATAGAACCTGGTTCCAAAATTGCTCCTTCCTAATCCTGATCCACCCAGGTATTTTGGACTACAGTTCTCAACAACCTTGTCAGTACAGCAAAAATAAGGCCATGCATCTTGGACCAAAATTACAGTACTATAGAAGTACATATATCAAGAAGCTTGTTCTATAACAGCCTTCACCAACCTGGTATTTTCCAAATTTTCTCTGGAAAATGTAGGAATTGCAGTTCCTACACAGGACACCATTTTGGGGTAAAACAGTGGTCTTTTCTAGGGGGAAATTAAAATTTCTCCATAATTATATATAAAGCAATCTGATCGAATACTGTTATAGATCAGTATGATTAAGTCTTGTTCAACATGGCTACATTTTTGTACTATCTGTAAAATTAGGCAGACTGATTATCCACTGACAAATCCATCACCAATTTGTAATATTTTGTTTTGTTTTTGTTTTATATTTAATGTATTTTTGTTTGTAATTCTGTCCATGACCATAATAAAGTAACCATAATAAAAATATCCATTCAAAACCTGATCTAGAGAGATTATCAAGCAACATCTTACTATGGTGGTTTCAAGTTGCTAAAGAAAGTAACCAGGAACATGCTTGTTTAAGGATCACAGTCTTTTCTACATATACAAATCAAGCACAGCTACAACTGAAAATAATATCTCAGTATGCAGGAAGAAGAAGGCTCAGATTCAAGTACCCACTTAACCACATAAGCTTATGGTATCGGTGAGCCACTCATACTCACACAGGGCTGTTGTGAAAAAACAAACAAGGAGGAACTACTGGTTGCCATATTCAATTCCTGAAGGAAAGGGCGAACACAAACCTAATTAATGTAGAAAATCTCATCTACAAAGAACTTATTAAAACAAAATGTTTTAATTTTTTCTGAGATGCTCTTGAAAATCATTTCACGATTTAGTTATACTTCTTATTCAGGAAATTTTATTCCATATATTTTCTAAATCTCTTTGTATTTTTGTCACAGTCTTTTTTCCAAACAAGCATGCTTAAGATTTAAGATTAATTTATTCATCTGCAACAGCAGGAGGGGGGAAATCACACACCCCCACAACTTGAGGCTGCCAAAGTAGGTAAAATTGTCAGATAAACTATCATAACAACTTTCATGGTTTATTTATTACCTATATACTATAAAATACATCAGCATTCTCAGTGTTGTTACATTATTGAAAGCATTGGGTGATAAATGCAAATAATAAAAGACAGTACAATGATGTACTTTGGTAATAAAATTTTTCAGAGAGAATGAAAGTAGAAGAGAAATGTACAGTAGTTCAAATCATAAAACATAATGGTTTTAAACTGCTAAAAAGCTGTGATCTAATATTCAATAAACAGACAAACCAGGGATCCAATAAACTTAACAGATCACTCTGTATCACCACAAATATCCTGTTCCTACTAGCTATCCTTTTCACTTTATTTGGCAGGGGAAAGTAAGACAGGGTCCTATTAAATGCTTCTACAATTTGATTAGAACTCATGGAGTCTATCACAACAGGTAGTAGAGACTATCCTCAACTTTCACAACCTTATCAGTAACTCATGACTACTTTTATGAGGTGTTTTTATAACACCGGGATGGCGAACCTATGGCACACGTGCTGGAAGTGGAAGAGCCTGGAAGAGCCCCATTGCATATGCGCGCATGCCCCCTGCCAGCCAGCTGATTGTCGGGTATCTGCTGCGCATGCGTGGGGGTAGACGCACGCGTGGGAGACACATGTGCATGCACAGAGGCATGCAGTGTGCGGCGGGTTGCATGCGCATGCAGAGGCATGCGGTGCAGGGGGGTCATGCACAGGAGGGCGAGGGGAGTCGTGCACACATTACACCATGGGTGCAGGCACATAAGTGTGCGAGCGCACACATGCGAGCACTTTTGGCACGCACATGGAAAAGGTTAGCCAGCACTGTTATAACACAGTAGTAACATAGCAGCAAATGGTAAGACAGCAACACTAATAACTGCATTGAAGCAATCTTTCCTTTTGAAATAACAATTTATTTACCAGTCCTATGAGCTGCTAGTTTCAGCAATTGTATTATGGGACACCAAATGCTTACAATTTGAATGTGGTCTACTGCATATTCTACTTTCTCATTTGTTTCCCTTCTTTGTTACATTTTAACCATATAATACTGTATATAATGTTTCCAAACTCTTGACTTTTCTTGATGAAATTTTGGTATTACAGTTGCTTTACATTTTATACTGTAAGTATTCCAGAGCTCTTTGGGGTCATGATGCCAACTTAAAAGTTACAACATAAATAAATATGAATGCTCTATAACAGAGATAAGGAGTGCATGTCTAATTCCAAAGATGATCAACTGCTGCCATCTTACCTATCTGAATAGGAATTATATTTAACCATACTGAGTACAGCTCCCATGAGGAAGAACATCAAAATGGGGTCAAGAAGAATGTACTGTGAGATTGTAATGAAGCCAGTGTCTGAAAAAAATGAGAAACGTATACTAGCTTTGTTATTCAAATTATTTATTAATGCTTAGTCGAACATAACCATATTGAATTCTAAAAGTACATTGTCATCCAGTGGTGGGATTCAAATATTTTTACCACCAGTTCGGTGGGCATGGCTTGGTGGGAGCGCTTTGCGTGCTTGCACATATTTTGCATGCATGTGCTAACCACGCACATTGTGCAGGCGCAGAAGTGTTTGCACAGGCACAAGAGGCATTCCAACTCACCTCCTGCAAACCTGTACACTTCTGGTCACCTCAGCAGCTGCTGCGCAACACTCTGCTGTGTGCAGCACGCTGCTGTGCTGTGCAAGGCAGCTGCGCTTCAAATTCAGAGGATAAAGGTGAATATGAGAGCCCAGACGGATGGGAGGGCCCAACAGCAGAGCAGCGGAGATAGCTGGTTCGGTCTCCGCTGCTCAACACCTCTACCAACTTGGCCGAATCGGGCCGAACCAGTAGAATACCACCACTGTTGTCATCCCAACATTTTCATTTTCAGAGACATTACTGTACTTAGAAAGATGATTCTGAGCCTGAGATGATCACCAACTTACTCTCTCACATATGCTTGCATACACAAAGACAAGACAGAAAAAGATGGCTGAATCTCAGTGAATCTAAAATAAACATGTTATTTCAAAGGTAAATTATTTTGTGACAAACCTGGCTGTATTTGAGGGAAAATATTTATTATTTATTAAAATGTATAATAATTTATAAAGCTGACCAATTCACACATAGTTGATTCTGAGGGGCTTACAACATTTTAAAAATCCACCATATAATAAACATCCATATAAAAAGAAATCCCACACACATCCCCACGACAACACTAACAAATCAGCCACTTGATTGATTCTGTCTTTGTAGTTCCCAGGCCTGCATAGGAACATGCATGTGAGAGTAGATATAAAACACAACACTGATTTCTTAAACAACAAATTAAAGCCTGATCACATGGATAAATATCAATCAGATTTTCTGCAAAATCCATAATACAGTTGGGAGGCAAAACCTTTCTGCACAAAATTTTCTATAACTGAATTGCCACTATTAAGAATCCCTCATAACAATGGTCTGATTCCGCCGGTTTGGCCTGGTTCGAGCGAACCAGATGTTAAATTTACGTCTGGTTCGCCAAACCGGTAGCTGAACCAACCAGCTGGCCCCTCCCACCCCACCTACCACTCCCAGAAGTCTCCATGAGGCCCGTTTTAGATGCAGGTAAGTATAGGGTCCACACAGATGCTCTGGGAGGGTGAAAAATGGAACAAACTGGAAGTTCCGGGAGTCCGGAAACGGGCCTGTTTCCGGCTTCTGGAGGCCCTCCGGAGGCCAGGGGAGGCTGTTTTTCACCTTCCCCAGAGTCCGGAGGCTTCTCTTGGAAGTTCCTGTAGGCCACGCCCACCCCTGGTTATCAGCAAACAGGTTACAAAAGTTTGGCATAAGATAAAGTATGAACAAGATGCATGCAGACTTGGCCAATTATCTTACTGTATCTTTCATAATAGAGAAGACCAAACACAGACCAAAGCAGTTGCTTACCAAAAATCAGGAGGGTAGCAGTGATTACTGCTGCAGGCAATGATCTCGATAGCTCCAGAACTGTGAGGTAGCAGAAGGGGATCAGACATGAACCAAGGAAGGCACAGAACTGAATAAAAGAGAAGAGAAGCATTCTTCACAAGGTCATTAAGATTATTCAGCTTCCCTCACTGACTTGTGGGAACTTGGTTGGGAAGGTCCCAAATGGCAATCATATGACCTCAGGATACAGCAACTATGGTAAATACATGCTGGTTGCCAAACACCCAAATTTTGATCATGTGACCATGAAGATGCTGTGATGGTTGTAAGTACATGGAATGGCCCCCACCCCTGGCCTCGCTTCACCATCAGAGGCCTTCAAGAAAGGCCTCTGTAGATGATTTAAGAGCTCCAGATTTTGATGCACATTCCTTAATTCTATTCACTCCACTCTAAGATCAATAATATGTAGCTATATCAGCTATATTGTTACTACTTGCACAGAAAAAGTGACAAGTAAAGAACAGCATGCTTGAGATAAAGAAAGTTCCATCACCGGTAGATTTATTAACAGAATATGGGCATCACAAATTAAAAATTTGCAAAAAAGATTTAAAGTAACTTTTTGGAATTCACTCAGCAGAAACAGCAGTACATAAATAAAATAAATATTTCATCTCCCTTATTTATTCCTATACATTTTAAAAGCTATAAAACCATATTTCATTTTAACATACGACAATTTAAGAAATATTTCTTTTAAAAATGATGCTTATGTTACAGGCTATTTCAAAATGTCCTCTTAAAATCTAAAGTGGATCTAACATTTCCTTTCATCATCAGTAATTCAGGAAGCTCCCCATCATGGATGGTTACCATCATACCAGTCTTTTAGAACAGGTTTTCAAGAAGAACAAACTGATAGAAAAAAGCTGTTTCATCCCTGAATTAAGATGTTTTCCACAGACAGGAGTCTCAGACAGAATAAATTCTGGCTCTAACATGTATTAGAATTAGAAAGAGAAACCTGCTACTATTCTCCAAATATAATCTTTACATTTGATAATATTTATAATCTTACCGCTCTCATTCCTATATAGTTATGTTGTTCATATTTGTCCCCAGGCTTCTGGAAGGGAAAAGTCCCATCGTAGCCACTCAGATAGCCAGCAAGTCCTATTAACATCTAAGGATGAAGAGGAACGATATTACTAAAGCAGAAGACAATTCAAAAGTTTATCAGATCAAATCAAATATCAGCTGATGAGTAAATAAAAAGTATTGCCTACAGCCCATGGCTTTCAAAAATGAACCGGGTGCTTAAATACGGTAAGCAAGAGTAATGAGAATGGAAGAAAGCTATCACTATCATGATCTCCTTATCAATGTATAGGCAAGCATCAGATCAAAAACATTAACAGAAGTCTAGACCAGAAGCAGTTAAATTAAGTAAGATGAAGGTTAACTATAGATTACAATGATATAAAAAGTAACAGCATGGATAGAAAACAATGAACAAAGTCAATCTATTCCAAATGGTTGTCATTCCAAAATGTATATATGAAAGTATATAGTAGGCATGAAAAATACACTATAAATACTGGCCCTAGGAAAATAGTTTATTTTAGGAATATTGGCAACCCAAACTTTCTTTAGTATAAAAAAAAATTAAAAAATAGTATATATTTTCAGATCAGAAAGTTGAACTCCAAAAAATAATGGGTGAAGGCAGGTCAAAAATTTTAATTTAGATTCATATTTACTTTTAAAATTCAAAAATTTGTATGATTCTTTCTAGTCAGTTACTGAATACTTTCCTCCTTTTGTCACATTATAAATTGCAATTTAAAAGCAAGCTTCCATTAGAATGGAACTGCACTAAAGTTTTTAGAGTTAAGCATTTTTGAAGTAATAGTTTACCATGTAACACTAAAATCAATAAGATTTAAACTGATTTATCAATTTTGAAAAAGATTGTTTTTCATGTGCAAGTTAAGGATGAATGAGCAATCAGACAGCAAGATCCAAGTTCTAAAATCAAAACGATTACTGTAATTTTAAAGAATATCCACTGAAATGTTTATAATGCTTACAGGAAGTAACTATGTTCCACCAAAGTATTAACTAAATCTGAAAAAAGTAAAATATTATGGTAGCTTTTTACCTTCCCCAAAGGTGGATGGACATCAAAGAAAAATGTCCGGTTAATATAATAACTCCCCATCTTTCCAAAATGTGTTTCATCCCAGCTATAAAAAGACAAAAGTAAGGTCAGTTCATTATCAGGGTTTTAACTTCATACTTACTCACATTTTTAGTCTTGTTTACTTCTAGTTTATTAGAATAATGAATTCTTAATAGTTCTGCATGTAGCTTATGAAGAAAAAGCAGCTGATCTTTCCAAATTAGTTTCTACTAAGGCTAGGTAAATAATTATCTTTGATTATATTAATTTATATGGTTCTTTAATTCTACAAATATGCAACTCCATTACATTGACTTTCACCCCATATCTTCATTTCCTTCAAAATAAGGTACATACTTAAGCATTTCTACAATATACAAACTTCCTTTTAGGAAGCTGACAAGCCCACAAAAATTAAAAAGCAAATCTTATAACCGGGATATTCATGAAAACTGAAAACTAGTCACAGTTTGCTTTAAAAGTATAGTGTCTATTTTGGAAAAGTTCACTCTCCAATTCATCCTGCTAGAAATAAATCAAGAAATTGTGTCCCAGCCACTTGATCTTATTTATAATTAGACAAACCTAAGTTTATAGGCTTTGTTATGAATAACTGCATGATTAGATCACTCTTATTTTACTTTTGTTTACTTGTTTACTTATTTGTTTACTTGTTTACTTATTTTTATAATGCTTACAGGGAGTCTGTAAATGTTACAAAGTTCCAAGCATCATTTTTGTATGGCAAGAATGACAATGTGGACAGGAACCAAGCAAAGGCATTTTTCTCCCTTGCAAACGCCTTTAAAAAGCCCTTCAAAACACCCACAGGGCAAGGGCTATCCAGATATAAGGGAGAACCTCATTCCAGGGGACAGGTGCTGCTACAGAGAAGGCATGCTTTTGAAGTCCTGAAATGATACTGGGTAATTAAAGGAACTTTTGTGGAAAAACTTTGCAGGATTGCATTAACCAAGCAGATACTACGCGGCAAGAAACAATACCATATAGAAGCAGGCCCTATGCCACTTGCATAGACTAACAATCGGAGACTGCAGGACTACTTATAATAATCAGCATGCCATTTAATGACAGCAAGATACAGGGCCATTTTAAATGCCATACCACAAAATTCTCTAAACAAACTACCCTCAGTAAAAAATGTCCTAGAAAGGACTTGCACAGATATTTAACATATTATCACTTCTTTTACTACAAAGCCAAAGCTTGACCACAGCAACAAACAATGTCTCTGTACTTTCCTATTTTCTTTTGTGATGTTTCTAAGAGTGCAACAATGTGCCTTAAAATGTACAATATTGAAAGATAAAACAGAAGTGCAAGGAGCTTGGTCATTTCTGTGTGTCAAAAACGCTGTTCTGAACCCTGATATATTTGAATTTTGCTTAACCAGGTCAGATTTTTTCTAAAGCGCCTGTAGCCAAATAAGGAATAATGGATGGAAACTGAACAAGGAGAGATTTAACCTGGAAACAAGGAGAAACTTTCTGACAGGGAGAACAATCAACCAATGAAACAGCTTGCCCTCGGGGTTGTGGGAGCGCCATCAGTTAAGACTTTCAAGAAGAGATTGGACTGCCATTTGTCAGAAATGGTGTAGGGTCTTCCGCTTGGGTGGGGGGTTGGACTAGATGACCTATAAAGTCCGTTCCAACTCTGATTATCTGTAATCTGAGATTCTTGTATTTCATGGTTCTGTGTTGGCTGTTCTGTCTTCTACATTACGCCACGTATTCAGGTTTACAGCCGGATTAAACCAAAAGCCAAAATTGCATCTTGACTCAAATACAGCTACAGGGACTGAATACCTTTGAACTAATTACCCCAGTCGAGTCTGACTTGTTTAAGATTGTTAGGACAGAAATGCAAGAGAATGATGTATGCACATGAGGAAAGAAGGGACCAGAAAGGCTACTTTTGCTTATATTCTGCCTTTCAGGGAAAACGACTCCAAGGCAGGTTAACCAACAAGTAACTGCGCGAGTCACCTGGAAACAACCACTTTCCTATCTGAAGTGAGTTCTAATGCAAGTCTCCTCCACCGACAGATCCCGCCCCTAAAGCAAAGCCCCGCCCCCGTCGCCATGGCATCCCGCAACCCAATACCAGATGTGCGGCGGCTCCCGCAGCCGGTAGAAACGCGTAGCAAAGCTTAAGAAAGTGACGAAGGCGAGGGGGCTCCAAAACCGCCTTGGAGTCGCGCGGGCGGAGGGAGCCAAGACAGGAACACTCGCCAGTCTGAGTGTTTTTCGCTGCCGAAGGCCCAGCACGGCCGGGCAATTCTTGTTCGTGGCTAGTGGCATTCGCGCCCTGAAGGGAGGCGCCTGCTGTCGGCTCCCGTAACCGGGCGCAGCGCATCACGGGAAGTAGAGTCCACTTCGAGAGGCATGTTGGGCAAAAGGGTCGGGTATTTGCACCCACGTGAGGGAAACAGAAAAACTTACTTTTTTTTACAGCATTGTGGGAAATGTAGTTCTTGAAATATGTTTTTTTTTTTATTCGTATGAAGTTAAGCCTCAGAACTCATTCCCATCCGCATCAATGAGCTTGCTCCTTTAAACTATTGGGATTATAACCTAGTGCCTTAATTTTATTTAACTTTATTGGACTTTAATTTTATTTAATTTTATTAGACTCAACAAAACCCTCAAGACCTTTTGCTTATCCATCTGTGCTCAAAGTGGGCAGGTGACATCTCTTTCCTGGCTGTTATATCTCTGAGCACTCAAAGTGCAAAAAAAAATGGGCACTAACCTTTTTTGTATGTCCCTTATAGGAGGAATTGTAATTTAGATCTTGCTTGCCGCTTTGTATTCACTGAAATGGCTTAACCTAAATTTGCTTTTAATCACAATTTGGTCCAAAGTACTTTCATTTAAAAAAAAACCTTACAAAAAAGTAATGTGCCCACTGCATATAATCAGGAAAGATGTGAAAGGCCATGCCAAGATTTTATGCGCTCTCATTTGGGTAAGAGCTCCGTTGGATTAAGTGTCATCTAAATGTAACTTGAAACCTAGAGTCAATATCGAAAATACACAAGGCACAATGTTTCTCAGTATTATAGTGTCTTCATAGTTTTAACCAGAGGTGGTATTCAGCAGGTTCTCACCAGTTCTGGAGAACCGGCAGCGGAAATTTTGAGTACTTCAGAGAACCAGCAAATACCACCTCTGACTGGAGATTTCACCTGCCATGCCTACCAAGCCACACCCACAGAACCAGTGGTAAAAATAAATTGAATCCCACCACTGGTTTCAACACACACACAAACATTTCTGGCAATCTAATTTAGTTAGAATTCTTTTCAGCCCACTTAACTTGAATATTCCTGTATGCTTAGTCAATTCTTTTTTTACTGTTGTCCTTTAAATCATTGTAGGACAGCCATATCAGTCTCTATATAGTTAACCCAAATGTAGCCCAAAATTAGGATTCTGAAAGCATCTTTTCAGATATGCTGACAATCTGAATTAATCAAATTTGTCAGCCTGAAAAAGTGCTTGCAAACTCCTTCAAATCCTTTAACTTTTTTTTTGAGTCTCCTGCCTGTTCTTTGTCCCTTGCCTACTTATGATATTGCCTGCTACCAAGTGGTTACAATATAATAAAGTGTGTGTGTATGCAAAGTGAAGGGAAGATTTCAATTTGATAGAAGCAACTTTTATGTTTGTATTTGACCATCAAATTTGTTGTGTCCTTTTGTGTCCTCATATGAAAGAAATATAACAACATTGTTGGAAGAAATATCCTTCTGGGTTCAGTTCCAAGTGGGGAAAAAGACACTGGAAACATGGAGGCTGTTTGGAAAGATGGTTTAATGGTGGACAGGATCACATGGCTTGGAGCTCTAAAATGAAAAGGACGACTGCATGCTTCAAGATGTTGGGTGAAGGAAACGAAGGGCCAAGATGCTGAGAGACTCTTAGTTATATACCCTCTGTTGGCCAAGTTCCACCTGAGTGTTTCCTGTTCCTGTGTAAGAAATGTATCCCATTAGCTGTCAGACTCCCAGGGGTAGGGGTCTTAGCTAACTTTGTAGATTTTGCCTGCACCACATGGCTTCACCTAAGTGCTGGCTGATGCAATTTTCCCAGGCCAGGTGGCGAGATGGGCAGAGGCCTTTGTTATGTAGAATACTCTGGTCCAGGCCTTAATGGCCCACCCATTAACAAAGGTGGGGGTGAGTTTCTGCTTCTGAGTTTCTACTTCTCTTTTTAAGAGAAATATTCTTCCTTTTTAATATTTCCTAGGATATTTCATTTTTCTAGAGAGGAGTGGGTGCTAACTTCCTACAAGATAATTACAATTTCACAAGGATATAGCTATTGTTTGTATCTTCTGATTAGGAGCCTTTGCCCATCTCAATCCCAAGAGCCAATGCAATCAGCCAGTTTCTTCTATAACACACTCAAGCTTTATTCTGTGTAATGAAACCAAGTGCATTTCTTTATAGTGAAAAAGGACAGTGATAACACTGGAGAGAATTAAAAAAAAATAAAAGCAGTCAAATTACAGTGAACCTAATGAACAAGACTGCATTCACTCCCAATGGGAAACACATTCACTTTCTAAATAACATATTAACCAATTTAAGCTATATTATACTAAAACACCTAATGCTTCTGTCCAAAGCATGTGAGTTATTGAGTAAGATGGGTGGCCTTAGAAATTGAACAAATAAATAAAGCTATTAAAAAGGTCCTGGCATACTACGGTATTCATGTTGCTCTCCAGAATTACAGAGAAAAGCTGGGGAAGAGAGGAAACTACAACTCCCACAATCCCAACAATTCGCCGGAATGGCGTAAAATTCATAGAATCCCTAGCTAGCTAATATTAATAGTACAGGGCGGAACGTGAGGCGGCCGAGGCCACGCCCATTTTTAAAGGAGCCTGGCTCCCTACGAAATACTTGTCAATGGGGAGAGTGCGAGATGTGTGCTGCGTTAGCAAAGGTATTTGTTACTATTGCTTCCTTCTCCCGGCAGCTGCGCGGATAAAAGATCACGATGTAGTTGGGGTTTTGTCATCGTGAATACATCTTTTAGCAACCTGACTCCAGTTTGGTTATCCAACTTGAAAGAGTTTAATGGTTAATAGTTAACTTAAATATTTAAAGTAATAGTTAAACCGTCCAGACGAGGTTAATGCAGATTCTGAAGTCTTTTAGGGCTGTGACCAATCTTTGCATGCCGTTGAATAAGGGTTTGAAACCTGAAGCCAGAGGGTGGAGCATATTTGGGGCCATAAATAAACTTCTAGGAAATGCAGTTCCTGGAATTTCTAGAATCCAGTTCTTCTCCACTCAAGTCTCTTGAGTTGGCACAACATTTATTACCCATTTTACCTATTGATATTCCTTCCTTACTGCCTTTGCTCTGTCCTAGATTCCTGGTTTGTGAGTGTGCTATTATCTAGAAAGATGAATTTTTTCCCCCTCTGGCTTCACTGCCCTCCTCCTTTATTATATCTACAGCAGCAGAGAAAACCTCTTGTCAGTAGATCGATGAAACACAAATTATATCAGACCTTTTCAGGACTCTTGATTGCCTCTCCTCCTAAAGACAATTTGGGCATCAGAAGAAAAAGAAAAAAGGAAAGAAAAGAAAAAAGAAAATAATTGGAAAAAGGAGTTATTAGAGCCAATATAACAAGAAAAGAGGACAGCAGAACCTGCTATTGTTGTGCAATTACATACAGGTAGTCCTTGACTTACAACAGTTCTGTTAGTCACCATTTGAAGTTACAATGGCACTGAAAAAAGTGACTAGTGGCAATTTTTCATGCTTATGACAGTTGTAGCCTCCTCGTGGTCACGTGATTTACATGATGGTTGCAGCATCCCAGAGTCACATGATTCCCTTTTGCGACCTTCTAACTAGCAAAGCCAATGGGGAAACCAGATCTGCTTAACAGCTGTGTTACTAATTTAATTGCAGCGATTAACTTAACAAATGAAGTGGCAAGAAACATTGTAAAATGGGGCAAAACTCACTTCAACAACATAAATTTTGGGCTCAACTGTGGCGGTAAGTTGAGGACTACCAGTAATTCGGTAGCAACTGTTGTATGCTATTGAGTCAGTTGTGACTGGGTGGACAGGTCCTTGCAGTTTTCCCTTACAAGATTTCTGAAACTGTTTTCCATTGCCTGCTTCCTACAGCTGAGAGAGGGGTGTTGGGTCAAGGTGACCCAGCAGGTTTCCTGTCTATGGAACAACTAGGACCTTAATCAAAACACCAAACTGGCTCTCTCTGTTGTGAAGCAGAGAACTGGAACTGACCAGCTGCTGGTTAACCTGATTTGGAGAGGGAGAAAGTCAGTGTACCTGACAAATGCCTCCAAACTGGCAAATAAGAGCAAAGCCCAGTGCATAATACCACTTACTATTATCTAGATTTTGCAGTGAGGAAAAAGAGGGCTGCTACATCTAAAATAACAGTACATTTTAAAGCAGGGGCCTCCAACCTTGGCAACTTTAAGCCTGAAAGACTTCAACTTCCAAAATTCCCCAGCCAACAAAGCTGGCTGAGAAATTCTGCGAGTTGAAGTCCTCTAGACTTAAAGTTGCCAAGGTTGGAAGCCCCTGTTTTAAAGTGCAGGTAAATCAGAACAGGGAAAAACACTTGACTTTCTCAAGTGAAATGGGAGAGGAGGGCTCTATTTTTTTTGTCTCTACTAAGAGATCTTGGAGAAATAATGGTATCAGAAACATGTGGGGTAGAAGGTGAGCAGACTTAAAATATGCGCATATATAAGGCCTATCATGCTACCTATTCTCTTTCCCTCCTGTAGCAAAAGTAAAGTGCTAATGGAAATGGCAAAGGCCTGAGAGAAATGGCTGATGGAAGCAATGCATCATAGAACTAAATTTATAAAATTAATTGTATAGCCATTTAAAAAAGAAATCAAGGTACATATCTCTGTTTAAATCTACAAATACTTGATGAATACATTATTATTGTACTTTATGGATTAGGGTTGATGGCACGTAATGAATCAAAGGGTTATTACATTGAGTGAAATCTGTCGGCTCACTGATTTCATTAAAATGGTAAAAAACAGTCCTTGAAGCTCGGTGTCACAATGCATGTAGAAAAGGAGTAGGACTTGTATTGTAATGTTGCTTGCATCACTCTTGATTCCTCTTTGCCCAAGGCTTTGCTGGTTATATTCTATGTTTCTGGGGTTTTTTAATTGAGTTTTTTTATGTTAACTGCTAGTCCTTGATGATTGCAGTAGACTAACAACTAATGTAAAATATTTGGGTGGAGCGGTGTCCAGCATGTCATATGAAACATGATTTTTAGTGAAGTGTGTATTT